TATTCTATTCTATTCTATTCTATTCTATTCTATTCTATTCTATTCTACTCTACTCTACTCTACTCTACTCTACTCTATTCTATTCTATTCTATTCTATTCTATTCTTCATTTCAATATTCTGTTCTGTTCTGTTCTACTCTACTCTAGTGGTTTTATTTCCCTTTCAGACTACAGTTTGCAGATCACAATTTCTTTTAATCCTCCCCACAGATAGTAAAAATCCTCAATTCCTACACTCCCATTGATGATTTTGAGAAAAGGATAGCTCCATCCTTTGTTCGTAAAGTCCAGGTATGGTTTTAACTCTTTATTTTGCCCCTCATATTTTTGGACTTTTAAGTTTTTAAATGCCAAACCTCTTGAGACCTCTTCTGTTTGAAAAGTGGCACGTAAATCAAGGAAACAGATAAATTAATATAATAAATGGCAGCCTACCGGACAACGTATCCATATATAACTGCTTAGACACATGTATGCATCCAGGAAATCGTTAACCTTCTCTTTATTCTAATTTCAGGGAATGCTGAACAATAGACAGAATTCCACCCAACTGATGCTTGATACCAAATACCTCTTTCAAGTAACATTTCCCTTTACACCTTCACCACATCCACTGGAAATGATAGAAATCCCCAGCAGCTTCAAACTTGGCTTCCTCACTAGAATATAGTTACAAGGACTAATGCATTATAAATTCACTCTTTCCCAAAGAGTAAATGCAGACTGTTTAGTAATGCTACTGCATCAGCATAAATCTTCTGATGATGATACCTAGTTTGCAGCACTGATGATATTACCTGGTTCGGTAATGAAAGGTCTGTAGGAAAACTCCTGAGCTCAGAGAGCACCACGGACTCAACTGTAAAGCTTTTTTTAAAATGGGCATTAAATCTGGGGGAGCAATATGGACTTCAGAATGTAAGAAATGGAATACTGCATATTCGGTTATCCTGACTCCAGGCTAGCATTTCTTAAATCTTAGCAACTTTAAGGTATGTGGACTTCCAACTCCTAGAATTCTGACTGGCTGGGGGAATTCTGGGAGTTGAAGCCCACCCTTCTTAAAGTTGTGAAACTCTGCTGTAGATTCTTCCATATCGTATCGAGACCTACCCAATTTTAATTTATAATTTTATCAATTAAATTTATAAATACGTTTATAATGAAGGATTTCTTCCATAATGAAGGACTAAGGAAGAGTTTATTTTAACCTGTGGCATTTGGAACACAGCTTATAGAATGGCACTGTTGTAAAAGTATGGACTAAGACAGTGGTTTTGTTAGATGTTTCGTATGTGTGTGGCATGTGTATAATGATAGACGGTGCCACCGATGAAATGACAGTATTCCACTAGATATTGTGTGAAGTCATTGCCACACAGATAAGCTAACTTCCTACTTAGCTTTTTCTAGGTCATCTAAAACTGGCTAAATGTGTATTTTTTACAACTTTCATCTTTCATCAAAAGAATTAATCCTTTGTATGTGACAAAGGGGGCAAGACATTTATATGCACAACAGTAGAAAGATAAACAATTCCCACCACTCAAACGTGGAATTTGAAATTAATGGAATTGGTAGATATGGCAAACATGATTATTTTAATAAAAGAGAAAGGTATATTCAGTTTTGCTTCTACGGTGGTACCTTGGTACTTATCCTTAATTGGTTCCAAATAGTGTGTGATGCGTACCAAAAACGATGAGAACCAAATAATTTTTTCCCATAAGGAATAACATAGTGAGTCACAAGTTCTAGCTTATGCGTTGAGTATCAAACAAAGAATGACTACTTGGACAAAATTTTCACCTCAAAATGTGTTGAGTACCAAATTCGACGAGTTTCACTGTACTTGGAAACCATTTATGGGCTTCTTGCTTGAGAAAAATGAAGGACTGATTTTAGGGTTCAATAATTAGTTATGATTATAGAAATATTGTGTATTGTTATTCTTGATAGTCATGAATACATATATACTTGTATATTGTATATTTTTATGTTCATGTTTAAACTTTATGATATATAATTTTAAGGCTATTTGATTGTTTAATTTGTATACTTTTATACAATGTGTCTTTGTTTTAACTTAAGAGTATGAAGTTACTTTATATTTGTATCTGTATTGAAGAAACTCCCAATAATCTTTTTTTCTTGTCGCTTTTAAACCATTTCCCCTTTTTGATCTCTCCCCTAATTTTTCCTTTTCTGTTATTTTGTAATTCATCTTTTATTTTTGAAATTTAATAAAGCTCACTTAAAAAAATAATTCTTCCAAGGCAAAAAAAACACCAGAGAGAAGGTTTTAGCCTCCTCTTCATACCTACGTTACAAACCTCTCTGTGTTGAATGGATGATGTTTTCATTCCAGGTGAAACAAGCAGCTTAATTCAAGAGGAATTCAGGAATTCATTTCTGTCTTGTGTTCTCAGAAGTTTTTTTTTAAAACCTTGGAGGATTTCAGGGGAAAAGGTGCATACCCCATATAGATACCTAGAGATTTTAATGGGAACAGCCTCTTTCTGAGTTAGAAACCAGATTCACCTATGTTGGCTAGATGAGGAATGGAGAACTATTTGAGGCAAAAGAAAGGAACGTATTCCAGCCTCATTGAATGATCCATTTCCTAGAATTTTCTTTAACTATTTCAACCATTTGCAAGTCTCTGGAACTTCAAGCAGCATTACAAGGTCCTTCTGTACATTGCAGGGTTGGTAAATCCCTCTAAGTAGATTAAATCAGCCTTAAATTCTTCCTCCTACATTTTAAATAGCCCACTGATTAGCTTGCTGCCTTCCTAACACTTCAAGGTATCACTGTGGGTGAAAAAAGGTAAGAAATACCCTTACTATTTTTGATTACAAGCCTAAATTATCTATAGAGTAATGCTGAAGTGGTTTTTTTTTAAAAAAAATAAAGTCTGTTTTGTTTTTGGTTGGGTTTGGTACCTTACTTGTTCATGGCTTAAAATAAAAACATTATGTACAAGGATTTTAAAAACGTTGCCAGAAGAACAAATGATTCTAAATACCAACAAAATAAAACTGAAGTTTTTGTAAGACTTGTTTCACTCACTATGTATTTGCACCTGATCAATTGTTTAGTTAAATTTGGGTTTTAATTGTTTATTTTTTTAAAAAAAAGTTGTATTTTTAATTGTTCTACTGTACCCTGTCCCATTCATGAGATGGACAGCTATACAGATTTGACAAAAAAAAGAGAAATTGTTGGTTTACTTTAATTTCTCCTACTATAAATTCTTTAGTCTTTCTTGGGCATCAGCAGATGGCTGTGGTCCAAGTTTTTTGTATGAACAGAATAAAGTAATTAGTGAGTGAAAAAAAGGTGCAAAGAAAGAAAGAGAGGGAAAAAGGAAAGAAAAAGAAAGGAAAAGTTATAGAGAAATTGCTTCCAACCTTCACAGCAATTATAAGTACATTTATATTTTACCTCTCTCTAAAATGACAATATAATTTCCTTTGTAGCATAGCCTGTCCTTTCTAATCATCAAACCCCTCAATCACGTTCATTTCCCCCCATTTTTTCAGGAAAAAAAAGTCTATAGGGGATTTCCAATCAGTAATAAATGTAATTATTGTGTCTAATCAACCAACTTCCTGTTTATCTGTTATTTATTATTATTTTTAAGTCAGGAAGAAAGCCATTCCTGTCACTTCTGCTCTCCTCTCTTTCAGCGGCCTGCCAAGATGTGTGACCAAACCTTTGCGGTCAATATTTTTGGGCCGTGCGACATTTGTAGCAAAGAGAAGGTTCTTCAACAAATATACTGTAAGTCGGAGAAACGCAGCTGCTGTGCGTTATGCGTGAAGCAGGTAAGGGCCTGCAATGATTGGAAGGCTGTTTGGGGGGGATCTACTGGATCTCGTGTGGTGTCCCTTCTGATTGGTGGCACCCCATCTTCACTCCCGTAGCAGAGTGGGTTGAAACGAGAGGTCCTTGCTTCTCCGTGAGCTTGCTTTCTTGCAGATCTTTCATGACCCAAACTACGTCTTGTCATCACTGCAGAGTCATAGTGTAGGGCAGGGGTCTCCAACCTTGGCAACTTTAAGCTTGTTGTTAGTTGCGAAGTTGTGTCCAACCCATCGCAACCCCATGGACAACGTTCCTCCAGGCCTTCCTGTCCTTTACCATCTTCTAGAGTCCATTTAAACTCACGTCGACCACTTCAGTGACTCCATCCAGCCACCTCATTCTCTGCCATCCCTTTCGTCTTCTATTGCCTTCAATCTTTCCCAGCATTCGGCTCTTCTGCAGCAAGTCCTTCCTTCTCATGAGGTGGCCAAAGTCTTTGAGTTTCATCTTCAGGATCTGGCCTTCTTTTATTTTTATAATAAACTTTATTAATCTTTTATGACTTTAAAACAAACAAAAAGTGTAAATATCTTGACATTAACCGTTTGTGGCATTCATCTTATACTACTATTTTGTGCATTATTTACAAATATATACAATTTATGCGAATGTAAGCATTTAATCTATATGTTGCTTATCATTAATTTTTCTTTTTTTTTTTTTTTTTTTTTAAATAAATTTTATTAAATTTACAATTAAAAACATATCGACATTACATACACAAAAGGAAAAAAACAAAAAAAGAACACTCGGTCTTACAAACTGGAAAGAAAAGAGAAGAGGAGATGTAAAAGAAAGAAAGAAACAAAGGAAGAGAAAGAGAAAAAAGAAAAAAAAAGATGCGTTTAAAAACAGACAATATCCTTTTTGACAGTCTGCAAGATCCAATTCTCCTACCTTAATTTGAATACACACATCTTATCGATATCTATGCTTAAATTACCCATTGTCCATTAAGCAGTTTATCTCTGGACTAACCAATTATACCAAGAGTTCCAATTATCGTAAAATGTTGAAGCCTCTTTGTTTTTAAGTGCTATAGTTAATTTATCCATTTCTGCACAATCACATATTTTCTGGATGACCATTTGTTCTGTAGGTGCATAGGGTGATTTCCAACACTGGGCAAACGCTAATCTGGCTGCAGTTAGGATATGAATTGTTACATATTTCATCTTTTTGGGTAAATGTTTATCAGAGATCCCTAGTAGGAAGAACTCTGGTTTGTATTCGATTTGTTCTTTGGTTATCTCCTCCAACCATTTTCTGATTTTTTGCCAATATTTCTGGGTTTCTTTGCAAGACCACCACATATGAAAGTAGGTTCCTTCTATGCTTTTACATTTCCAGCATTTTGGACTCGTGTTTGGGTTCATTTTCGCCAACCTCGAAGGGGGCAAGTGCCATCTATAAAACATTTTGTATGTATTTTCTTTATATGCTGCCGATTTTGTAATCTTAATATTTCTGTTCCAAATCTTTTCCCATTCTGATAATGTAATACTTCTTCCGACATTCCTGCTCCAGGCTATCATGTTCCCTTTGACTATCTCTTGTTCTAATTCTACTTCCAGTAAGTATTTATAGAATTTGGATATGTTCTTTTTGTTTGATCCTAGTAAAATTTTATCTAAATACTGCAGTTTGTTATAAATTCCAAAGTCTTTTATATCTTGTTTGTATCTGCTATGGATTTGTATATATAACCACTGATCAATTTTAAATCCCTGTTCCTGTAGATCTTGTCGAGTTTTTAATTTCCCTTGCGGATCTAATAAATCTTTATATTTAATCATTTTTGTTATGTCCAAATTATTGGGATGTACCATTGCCTCCATTGTTGATAGCCAGATCGGAATTTTTAGATAGTGTTTTTTGCATATTTTTTTCCAATTAATTAATAATGAGTCCCTAATGAGGTGTCTATGAAAGTAAGACTGCTTGGGTTTCCCCACTTCCCATAAGAAGGCATGCCACCCTCTCTGGAGGTCATGCCCTTCTAATGCTAAAATTCTTTTGTTAAGTAAGTTCACCCAGTCTTTTATCCATAATAAGATAGCTGCCGAATAATATAATTCCCAATTTGGAAGGGCTAGACCCCCTCTACTTTTCGCATCTTGTAAGGCCTTTACATTGATCCTGGGTTTTTTCCCCTGCCAAATAAATTTAAGTGTGATCTTATTTAATTCTTCAAAAAAATTTTTTGACAACTTAATTGGGATTGTCTGGAATAAATAAAGAAATTTTGGTAATATATTCATTTTAATCGAGGCAATCCTGCCCAATAAGGAAAGCTGCAACTTATTCCAGGATTCTAAATCTTTCTTTGTTTGTTGAAGTAGTTTATCATAATTGTTCTCTTTGAGTGATTTACCTTGTGGTGTTAACCATATTCCTAAATATTTGACCCTTTTTGTTACCTGTATCCCCATCATTGTTTCTAATTCTTCCTTCTGGTTTTCTGTTAAATTTTTGGTCATTAATTTCGTCTTTTTTCTATTAATTTTTAATCCTGCCACTGTGCCAAATTGTTCTAATTCTTTTATTAGATTATAACCTTTTTCCATGGGTTCCTCCAAAAAGAAAACCATATCGTCAGCAAACGCTTGTAGTTTATATTCTTCTAATTTGACCCTCACTCCTCTAATTTCAGAGTTTTGTCTAACCCGTGTTAAGAGTGATTCTAGGGCAAAAATGAAAAGAAGAGGTGAGAGAGGGCAGCCCTGTCTGACACCTTTTTCTATATTTATTGGATCTGTTTGTTCGCCATTGATTAGTATATTAGCCTGTTGTGTGTTGTAAATAGTTGTTATAATGTTTTCAAATTTGGTGCCAAGACTCATATTGTAAATTTTTTGAATTAAAAAGTGCCAATTTAAGTTATCAAATGCTTTCTCAGCATCTAAAAACATGAGTGCGGATTGTTTCTCCGGGTGGGCTTCATAATATTCTAGGACATCGATAACGGTTCTTAAATTGTTCTTTATTTGTCGGGACGGAAGAAATCCATTTTGATCTTCGTGTATATGTGGATTTAAAGCTTGTTTTACTCTATTAGCTATGATAGAAGTAAACAATTTATAATCGGCATTTAAAAGTGAAATCGGTCTATAGTTGTTGATGTATCTATGATCTGCATCCTCCTTCGGGATTAGCGAAATCAGCGCCCCCCTCCACGAGTCCGGCATCTTGGCTGCCAGAAGTACCTCATTAAACACTTCCAGCATCAGTGGTCCTACTAGTTCCAATATTGCTTTATATAGTTCTGCCGGAATCCCATCTGGTCCTGGAGATTTGTTATTACTTTGATTCTCCATTGCTGACTTCAATTCAGACCATGTAATATCTTTATTCAATAACTCTATCCATTCCTCTCCAATTACCTTGTCATTCGTCTCCTCTAAGTAAGTTCTTATTTTATCTTCATTAACTTCCTCCTTTTTATATAATCTTTGAAAATAGTTGTAAATGATATCTTTTTTCTTCTCTATCTCATGTTGTAAGACATCTTTCTCATCCATTAGTTGGTGTATCAATCTCTTTTCTTTCACTTTTTTAAGTTTATGGGATAGCCATCTTCCTGGTTTATTTGCATGCTCAAAATAATTTTGTTTGGACCTTTTCAAGTTAATTTCTATTTTATCTTGTTCAAGTAAGTTCAATTTATGTTTAATTGTTATTAACTGATTTTGTGTTCTCTGGTTTTTAGGGGATTTTTGAAGTTGTATTTCTAATTCTTTAATTTGTTGTTGGAATTTATTTTGTTGGGCATGTATTCTTTTATTTCTCATGGCATTATAGGAGATTGTTGTTCCTCTTATAATTGCCTTCATTGTATCCCAAATATTTTGTTTCGTGGTTGCTTCATTATTATTTTCTTTTAGAAAATAATTTAATTCCTCTTTCAGCTTCTTAATGTACTCTTCTTCGTTTATTAACTGAGTATTTAGTGTCCATCTTTTCTTTGTTTTTCTCCTATCTCTCCAAATTAGTTGTATTGGGTTGTGGTCGGCCCATTCATTTGGTAGGATTTTAATTTCTTTTATTTCATTGGCCAATTCCCCATCCATCCAGGCCATATCTATTCTGGTCCAGATTTTGTGTGGATTTGAATAATATGTGAATCTATATGTTGCTTATCATTAATTTTTCATCATCCATCTATCTTAGCTCAATCCAGTCATACCATTTTCCCCAAATCCTATAATACTCGGACTCTTCCTTTTCTTGTAACATCAGAGTTAATTTATCCACCTCGGCACAAGACATTACTTTTTGGATAATCAGTTCATCTGGTGGTATACATGTATGTTTCCAACACTGGGCATAAGCAATTCTACCTGCTGTTAAAATATGTAATACTATATATTTTATATTTCTCCTGTATTTCTTTTTACATATCCCCAGTAAGAATAATTCCGGTTCTAATTCTATTTGTTCGTTAGTGATCTCATGCAGCCATTTTTTTTAATTTTTAGCCAATATTTTTGAGTCTCCGGGCAGGATCATCACATGTGATAGAATGTACCTTCTTTCTTCTTGCATTTCCAACATGCCGGATTCATGTTGAGATACGTTTTCGCCAATCTCGAAGGGGGGCAAGTACCATCTATAAAACATCTTATAGATGTTCTCTTGATATGCAGCTGATTAAAAGGATCTGGCCTTCTAAAGAGCAGTCAAGGTTGATCTCCTTTAGGACTGACCGGTTTGATCGCCTTGCAGTCCAAGGGACTCACAGGAATCTTCTCCAGCACCAGAGTTCAAAGGCCTCCATTCTTTGGTGCTCAGCCTTCCTTATGGTCCAACTTTCACAGCCATACATTGCAACTGGGAAAACCATAGCCTTGACTCTACGCACTTTTATTGGCAGGGTGATGACTCTGCTTTTTAAGATGCTGTCTAGATTTGCCATAGCTTTCCTCCCCAGGAGCAAGCATCTTTTAATTTCTTGGCTGCAGTCCCCATCTGCGGTGATCTTGGAGCCCAGAAAAATAAAATCTGTCACTACCTTAAGCCTGGAGGACTTCAACTCCCAGAATTCCCCAGCCAGGTTTAAGAACTAGGAGGACTTGTTCTCCGAATTTCAAGTAGCTCTTGCCAGATGCCGATAATAGCTGGCTCCCTTGTGAATGATTTCTAATTTGACAGCTTGTACAGTATTTACTTCCAGTTTTCAGCAAAGCAGCCCAGAGTGAACCAAGGGATCATTTAATGAAGAGAAGGACTAGGGGAGACAGGATAGCAGTGTTCCCATATCTCAGGGGCTGCCCCCAAAGAAGAGGGAGCCAAGCTATTCTCCAAAGCACCTTAAAGGCAGGACAAGAAGCCATGGGTGGAAACTAATCAGGGAGAGAAGCAACTTAGAACTAAGGAGAAATTTCCTGACAGTTGGAACAATTAGCCAGTGGAACGACTTGTCTCCAGAAGCTGTGAATGCTCCAACACTGGAGGTTTTTAAGAAGAGGTTGGATAACCATCGGTCTGAAATGGTGTAGGGTTTCCTGCCTAAGCTGGGGGTTGGACTAGAAGACCTCCAGGGTCCCTTCCAACTTTTCTGTTATTCTATTTTAAAAGCTGAGACGTATTCAGGGACAGCTGGGAATAAATGAAGGAAGGAAGGGAGGGAGGGAGGAAGGGAAGGAGAGAGACAGAAGAAAGAAAGAAAAAAGAAAGAAAGAAAGAAAGAAAGAAAGAAAGAAAGAAAGAAAGAAAGAAAGAAAGAAAGAAAGAAA